CCAGCCCTCCCTATTTGCTGAAGTTGAAATGATTGTGTCAATAAGACATGTCCACTCTCATCAGATACATCATTTCTACACAATTATACCATTCATCTGACTTCATAGTTGTTACTTTGATAACTATACATTTTCAATGTACAAGTTTTTCATGCAAGTTATATTTGCCATTTTTATGTTGTAGAAAGTAACTTATTGTAACAAATTTTATGTGTATGGGGTGAATTACAGTATCAAAAGCCATTTTACCTGGTAGAGCTGGCCAGTGGTGGACGGCATCCCGTACACTACGACACCCTTCACATCGGGGACATCGATGCCCTATAAGAGAAATATTGATGCAATTAGAAGAAGCATGACTTTTATATAAACATTCATCCCCTTAAACGTACCACATGGGAGTATGCAGGCAACTTGCAACTAAATATTGATGTCAAATTCATACAAAAGTAACATTTTCATTACTTCAGTTTAAAAGGTGTTTCACAATTGTTTCACAGACTTGATAGATGACTTATATCCCACAGAGTCAAGGCCTTTATGTCATGGATCATTCCAATGCCATTTTTTAAGATACTAGTACTCCAGACTGCTACTGGCCTAAAACTATTGGCCTGCTGTTTCTCAACTTTGATACATTAAGGCTTCAGGCTGTCAGTTCCCATGTAATGAACCCCTATAAGTAAAATTTAAGAAATCATGACTATTGTATACCATGCCAAATGCAACGGAAGCGACAATGACTCGAATCCTGCCCTCCCTGAACCCCTGGAGCACGTCTTCCTTCGCCTTCGGGGACATGTCGGCGTGGAAGGCCCGTACCGAGCCTTTGGTGGTGGGCTTGCATGAAGACACCAACAGGCCCCACACGTCCATCAGCTTCTGCTTTCTGCCGAGATAGACAATGTGCTTGTCTATGTTCGCCGGACCCTCGGCTTCTCTGATCATGTTGATCAGCGGACCAAGGTCCTCCTGTAATTAATACAAAATGTCACCAACATGCTGTATTTTTGCAAAAAATGTAAGAAAAGTTTGTGTGAACTGATGAAACATTACACATTCTGCTAAATTTATTGGTATTTGAAATGGGCACATGTATATATATATGTATGCTCATGATCCTATGCTTATAGAAGGTAACTTTGGTTATTGCGTTTAAGAGAAATGTATTTTGAGACCATATTTGTATAATGATTTGTGTATGATAGTACCTTCATGCTCTTGACCTTCTTCCGGACCAAGAAGATGTTGTCCCTGTTCAGGCTCCCCATGATTCTGGTCGGGACCTTGTTGGGATCCATGATGTCGCTCATATGTAGCGCCTTCTCTACTGCCTTCTGGACCGCTGCGGTTGCTGTAGCTGTCAAAGCCATGAAAGGTATTCCTGGCAGTGCAGCCCGCAGCGATCCAATGTTTTTGAAGGCAGTCCTGAAGTCTGTTCCCCTGTGACAAAAGCACAAAGCGTTACTTTGTATATGTGACCAAGAATGTAAAAAGAATGGTTCTGTAGTATTGTAAATAAACTGTGTTTTGGCTACAACATGTACCTTTTTTATGACCTTGCTTGTATGTATTGTGATTACTTAAACTATGCCTTGTGAAATCTTTGCCTGTGCATTGAACCTTGATGTGATAAGTGATCTTTGAATTGATTATTGAATCATTTGTTCTGTTGAAGACATTATAGACATACACCTGAACTTGCAAAGATCAAATTGTTGTTCTAATCTTCTTTGTACAGTGGTACTTAAGCGCATCAATGACGAAGATGTGTATTATTCAGACTGATTGTGACTAGTTAATAGACACTGACCACTGTGGAATACAGTGAGCCTCGTCAACAGCCACCAGTGCAATTGGGAGTGGAGGCTTGTCCAGAAGACTTCTCCCCTCAGATGAGGTCAGTTCCTCAGGAGCCATGAAAACTGAATTTTAAAGAGTAAGAAAACTTGTCAGCAGCTATTGACATTATCAATCCAAAAAAATGTTAAGTCAAAAAGGTTCTTATTCTTTATTGATTCTCTGGTAATTCATGATTTGTGTCTATTGTGTTCAATGTTGGGAATGTATTTTTTTTTTGCTACTTACCCAGACGAACGTCCTTGTCGGGGATTTCCCTGAAGCTTCTGATGTCCGCCGCGCTTTTCAGGTGGATCCCCTTATATCCTGTGACTGTCTGGAAACGGTGGATCTGTAAAATAATATACATAAGTTTAGTACCAGTATCACGGTATGTTGTTATTTGGCGAAGAATTGAACAGCACCAAGAGGATTGTGACCAACTCAACAGACGTGATTAGGGATACACCACGGAAAAGTTATGACAGATTTTAGTATTGAATATTTGATGTTCTAACATTGCACGATAAACAAGGTAAGGACTTGACAAACACATTACATGTCCATTAGCAAATTGGTTTACATTGAACAGTATCAAGACATAGAAAGAAGCTCAGACAGGTAAGCAATTTCAATTCCACACATAAAGTATTACTGACGACATTTTTGAAAAGCTAATCGCTGAATACTGGATGCCGCCCCCCTCCCCCTTTCAATCGCCGCAGTTACGAGTATTGACAACAACAACAACGTATTGTGTTACACCAGTGGCCCGTAATACATTGGTCGCTCGATTCTGTAAACAAAAACTCATTTGTATCAGTCAAACTTTGTAATAACAAGATGGAAAAAATGAAAACACTGTCATACCTGATCGCGGACGAGGGCACGCAGCGGCGAAACAACCACAACAAGTTTGGGTTCTGTTAGGCAAAGGGGGATGCTCTGAAAACAGAGGGACTTCCCCTTCCCTGTCGCCATCCCAACGAAAACATCCTTGCCCTCTAAGGCCGCCAAAACGGCTTTCAGCTGGTCGGGACGGACCTCAAACCCCCAGACGTCTTTGAAAACACGCTTGACTCTGTCTTCCATGTCGGTCCCGTCCGTTAGACATTCAAACTGAGTTGAACGGAAACAGGCGAGTAACGGAAAATCGCCAGGCCGTGTCGCCAGCCGGAAGTTGGAATTTTGGTTTCCCTGGCCGGGAGGGCGTAATTCACACCTACGCGCCAAGTGAAGTCGCCACTACTTGTTAAGTGAGGTTTGATAGGGTAACAAATAACTGTTAATAGCCTTTCAGGTTGCGACTCGGAGCAGAGGTTGGGTGGGGGGCGACAAAAAAAAACGAGGCATATATAAAACGGCGACAAAAAAAAACGAGGCATATATAAAACGGTGACGATCTTCCCCCACCAACCTCTGCTTGGAGAGTAATAAAATCCCTTCCCGTGGGCATACCGCTAGGAGACCACAAAGAAGAAACACTTTTGAAACTACTCAACTCAAAACTCAATTGTTCTAAACGTACCCCGATCGATCTTATAACGTTTCGGTCACTTTATTCTTAACGTATCCCGATCGATCGGTTGCGGAATATCATCATCATCTAAACGTTGCCGTTCGTACGTTGAGCGGACGCTAATGTTTCCGTTCGACCGTCCAACGGCTTAACGGCTTTCCTAAATATTTCGTTCCAATTCGTTTCCATTTCGCTCCATTTCGGACTTTCTAGGCCTTTCTAGGGTCCTGCAAATAGTTCACTTGTGACCGTGAGGCCGCTATTCAAGCCAGCTACGGTTTGTAAAAAAAATGAAGGGTACCTCAAGATTTAATCGTTATACAGGCGATGTAGATAGGCTCTACTCTCAGGGCATGAAACCTGCAGATATCGTCAAAGAGTTACAGCCCTATCTTGGACAGGTGGACAAAAAGACACAACAGAGGTTTGGACTGTTTGTAAGAAATCGCGTTCACCGATATACCACAGAAAAGGTGGACAAAGCTGTCCAAACAGAAGAGAATGATCATGATGACCCACCCCGAAGCCAAGGCTCAACATCGAAAAACTCTGAACCAAAATGGTATGTAACTGTTGAGTTTGTTAGGACATGCGACTTAATCATTCCACGATTAAAACTTCAAAGTACAATTTTAGCGTAGCCTTCGGCCGGGGCGTTCGCTGACTGTTTGAAAGGGGCCGCTAAACGTGACTGTATGTTCACAACCAAATTAGGACGACGGGCAATACTGGGTTTTCTCCATTTGTATCCTACTTCTGAATATTACTTTCCATGCTACTTTCTAAGCCTGTAATACTCCCATTTTAACGGTCTCTGTCGATAGGTGTTCAACGGCGTTCATCGCCATTAAACACCTATCGACAGAGACCGAAAAATCATCAGACTATACTCTACCCTGGTAACCAGAGTACCGCGGGTCTGGCCGATTTTCCTCGGCGCGATAAGAACAACAGCCCCGTAATACTATCCAGCCGGCCACGGAGGTTTACTGGGTGAACAATAATTAATGCATTTCTAACATAATGTTCATCGCTCTACTTAACTATTTCATTTTATTTTAGGAAATTTGAAGTTGGCCAGCGGGTTTCTGTGCGTAGAGGCCGAGCTGGTGTGTACAAGGCGAAAATCTTGAAAAAAAAAGAGTTACTTGGTCCATTATGACAAGTTCCACAGCAGGTAAGATTTACATCTTATATGTTATTGGTTAGGTGCTAAAAGTTCAAATATTACGTTAGTAGCTTCACAAGGATCTTATAATATTTCACATGGACAACCAACATTTTGACAAAAAAGGTTATACATTTGGTTGTTTAAGTGCTCCATATGAAACTTTTGAAGATGACTCGAGTCTGTTGTCTGACATTTACTGGAAGGGTCATACTAATCAGATGTTATGTGTGTGAGGGTGGGTGGGTTACATATGTGTGTGCGTATATGTTAGAGTGCATGTGTGTGTGTTTGTGTGTGTGAGTGTTTGTGTGTGTTTGCTTGAATGTATGTTTCTGTGGCACATGACGTGAGTCTGTTGTCTGACATTTATAGTTAGAAATAATACCGGGTATTGCATTTTTTACTGGAAGGATCATACTAATCAGATGTTCTGTGCTCATATTTCCATGTAGACATGATGAGGTGCTGCCACAAGAACGCCTACAACCTGTCAAGGACTGACTCGTAACACGGGTGCCTTAGAAAAGTTCAACGGCAGGTAAGATTTACATCTTATATGTTATTGGTTAGGTACCAAAATTTCAAATATTACGTTACTAGCTTCACAAGGATCTTATAATATTTCACATGGACAGCCAACATTGTGACAAAAAAGATTATGCATTTGGTTGTTTTAGTGCTCCATATGAAACTTTTGAAGGTGACTGGAGTCTGTTGTCTGACATTTAAGGGTCATGCATATGTGTGTGCGTATGTGTTAGAGTACATGTGTGTGTGCAAGTGAGTGAGTGTGTGTTTGAGAGAGTGTGTGTGTATTTGTGTGTGTTTGTGTGTGTGTGTGTTTGAGAGTGTGTTTGTGTGTGTGTGAGTGTATGTCTGAGAGTATGTGTGTGTGTGTGTGTTTGAAAGTGTGTGTGTGTGTTTGAGAGAGAGAGTGTGTGTGTGTGTCTGTGCGTGTGTGTGTGTGTTTGAGAGTGTGTGTGTGTTTGAGAATTAGTGTTTGAGAGTGTGTGTATGTGTTTGAGAGTGTGTGTGTTTGAGAATGTGTGTGTGTATGTGTTTGATAGAGTGTGTGTGTGTTTGTGTGTGTGTGTGTGTGAGTGAGTGTTTGTGTCTTTGAGTGTGTGTGTACATGTGTGTGTTTGTGTGTGTGTGTGTTTGTTTGTATGTTTCTGCGGTACATGACGTGTGTCGGCCGCGGAATTTGGTATTTTGAGACGTTAAAATGAGAAGACACTAGTAAATTTATATACACGGCGGTCTGTCACTACGGTATTCTTTCCCATTGCTAAGCGCGTTCTAAAAGGTATCGGGTTACAAGACGCTATTTTGGCCTGTTTTGGACTACCAGTAAAACACTTGAAAATAAACAAAAAGGATTTAATGGCAAGTTTCGTCAAATCAAAATGAAATTATTGCCTCAACATCCTTTAAATATTAGCTGTTTATGTTAAATCATTGATTTTTCAAAATTTCGCTTCGAAAGACGATTTTCTTCGGGTTTCCGACCACAAGTCATGCCATGTTTTTAGGCAAAAATCGTTTTAACCTGGCTACGTGTATTACCCCAGATCCCCGATTTTTATATTTTTCGACGACTAGGAATAAGATAAAAAATCGTGTTTTAGGGATTTTTTAATTTCTGATTTGAAGTCTAGTTTTTGTCGACATATTGGTGAAAAAATGATATTTTTTTACATTTTTCGCACTAAATTACCCATAATTCAAAATTGAGGCCATTTTTCAAAAATCCCTAAAACACGATTTTCGGGACAACAGTAACAGTCATTTTGAGCCGTGAATGGGGTATGCTTGACTCACCATGCTTGCAGGTTAAAACGAGTTTTGCAGACATGTCATGTCGACCAAAAGTCTGCATTGTGTTATTCATACTGGTGTAAAGAATCATTACAGTATTCAAGGTCACCCAAGGATACGATAGTAGCTTCGCTACATGTTACAGATCCACAAAAAATGATAGCGGACATGTACTGTCCAGGAAACTGTTTGTATCTATAGAAAAGTGTTGTTTTTTATCTGTTGCAAGGCACGAAGGCAGAAAGACTTGTTTTGCCGCTTTATTGTAAATGACCGCAGGTGACCCCGAAATAGAACGCGGGTTCGATTCGAATTGCCCAGATCGAACACGGTTCGGGTTCTATGACATGTGGGAACTTTGCAGCCCAGATTTTACCACCGTGATAATACGAATCAACGCGCAAAAGGCGCAAACATTTATAGTACATCATTCAAACATGATGTTTCATCCTAAAGGGGAATAAACAAGCTTTCAAGTGGTATGAAACACAGAGATAATTGTTGAAGAACAACGGAGAGACATGCATGGTTGTCCAAACTTAACTTTCAGACCTTTTGGGATTAATTTATGGCAAGCTGTAACAAGCAGATCTTAGTGTTGTTTGTTTCAAATGCTGTTTCAGCCATTTGCTTTGACAAAAAAATATGAAATGTACTGTGTCAACTGATATATATATCATACATTATTCACATACTTAAATTGCAACTACTAGTATTTGTGACGATCATAACTCTGACTTTCTCAAAACTTGTTGACTGACCTGCGACTGACCCTTCTATTTTTATTTCCACACATCAACCCAACAATATTGCTTCCTACATCAATTACACATAGCAGTTTACATTTAAGGAACGAAATGTGCATAAGGTCAAATTGAGATATGAAGAATACCTTGTTAGGCAGTTGACATTGTTGGTAAAGCTGTCGAGTTAGTGAATCAGTCTCACGCATATACATGTATTATGATGCAAAGACAACTTCCAGTAATTGGTCCTAATCTACAAAGCCATGGAAATTTTAATGTACAATTGTACTCATCTAGGGTATTTTTCTTTTGTTTTTCATATGAGCAGGCTGCTGCCTCTTTGGACCCAAAGATCAAGAAGTACACAGTAACTGAGGATTAATGACCTGACGATTTTTTTAAAACACATTTCCGTCTCTACCACTGTACTTTACGTTATAGGTCCTGCAACCTAATAGTATGTAAATGCAGTACTAGGTGTCAGGTACATTACCATTAGCAAGTTAAAATAACCATTGCTTGTTTAGAAACATGTTCATGTTTGTTATAGATGGCAGCCATTTTGGATATTGAAACAAACTTTAGAGCTACGCATATGTATTGCATAATATATTTCATGCTACAATGCTATAAAGAACATAATGTTATTGGTCATAACTACTATCAAGGACCAGGAAAGGACTTGTAATGAGGTACTTATTTCATTGTGAAATATGGTAAGGTCCAATATCTAGCCTGTAGTTAGTTAAGCATTAACACATAACTCTAAAACTTTGTTTGGCAACTGTGTAGAATTTAGATGTTTACCGGGTCTAGTGTGGATTACTTTAGGCTGCTCTATGATATCTATTAAGGAGATGTATGAAGGATGCAAGGCCGAGTTCGATTACTCTCGTATTTCGTGTGTCTTGTACTCAAGTGCTTTCCCATCAATGATCACACAAGATTACAACAACGTTACAAATGGTCTAGTATACTATATGTACAGAGTTACACAGAGGTCTACACAAGGTATA